TTAGAAAATTAGGCCATATAACAAATGTTTACACAATAAAAAGGAAAATGAGATTGTTTCTTTCTTTTTTGGAGGTGGAGAGGTGAGAAAGTTGTGGTAAAGTTTTTCTTTTATTTTAAACCAGATGGATTTATTTTGTCCTGCTCTGCCATTTCACTATTTCAAATTGATTTGAAATCAGTAATGGTGTTTTCAAGGATGGATTTTTATTAAATCTTGGTTTTCATGTTGTGTTAACCTTTTCCTTCCCCTCAGCCAAAGGGTCTTGCTCCTTTATTCTGTCCATTTCACTTGTTTGTTTTAATAACCTGGTCTCTCGAGCCATTATTTTATCCTCAAATCCTGCCACTTTTATCCGTCTCTTTTTTTTATTGCTCTGTTTTTACTTCACCTTATATATTTTCCTCTTCTGTAATTATTGCAGAATCCATATTACCTTCCCCAAGATTCTAACAAAGAATGCTGGAAAAGGAGACATTGGGAAAGAGAAAATTTGCAAGTAATGGTCTTTGCTGAGCCCTGGGGAAGTCTCTGCTTGGATTTTTATATTCTACTACTTTTTCCCCCAGAGTTGTGCAGTTATGATTCTATGTAGTGGGGCCACGAAGGCAAGAGTTCAAATAGACTAACACTGATCCTTAATTGGAGGTGATAATCCTACATATAAACTTTCAGGAGGGAAAGCTATCCTGCATTTTATAGCAGGTAAACTCAGTTGCACCCGTTGCCAGTAGCTGGGTCAGCTAAATGTGTGTGTGTGTGTGTGTGTGTGTGTGTGTGTGTGTGTGTGTGTCTGTGTCTGTGTGTGTGTGTACTAGGAGTCCAGTTGGAAGTGGGAAGAGAAGAGGGTGATCTGCAGCCAGGCACTGTTGCTTTCAGTGAGTCTCAGGTGACTCCTTATGGCCTGGAACGGAATGGGCACTTGAATCAAAATAAAGACCTAGCCTGTAACTCAGTAGTATTGGTTCTTTCCTTTTCCACTTCCAGGCTATTTTCTTTCTTTTCTGTCTGTTTTCATTACTTCTATGGCAAGTTAACTTGCCATTTCTTAAACACCCTCAACCTTTTTGTCTCTTCCTTTACTTTTTTGCTTTACTGCTATCAAAGAGTTAAAGAATTCCATTAAATTGGAGGCCATTCCTCGCCATAACAGAAATCTGGATGGGATGCTTTTGACAACAGGCTCTCTTTAGTAGCTTCTCTCTACTCAGAAAGATGTCAGATATTTTGAGAAATAAATGCATTGCCCCAAACTGAAAACATCACCACTTTTATTCTGTAAAAAAGGCATCCAGGGAAGGAGGCCGCCTCTGTTCCCAGGAGGTCACAGGAACTGGGAGTGGCGAGAAGGAAGCTTCTAAACGGGGTCCAGATGCAGCTCTAACCAGGGGACGCATCATGCCTGGTCATTTGGGTGGCTGGGCTTGTCCCACCTCCCCGTCTTCATGCCCTCCTCCCAGTCTCATCCTAGGCCCTCCCACCCTTAGGCCAGCCACAGGCCTCGCAGCAGACATCTGCGGGTCTGAGTTTCATATATCCAGCATGAAGTTCCCTCTCTCCCGCCTGTTATGAATTCTGGGCTGTGGTCCTGCTTGCTCCTTGTGTGTCAGATTGAAGTTCTGATGCTGTCAGCCATGTCTGACCAATCAGCAAACAACACCACAGGATGAAATTTAAACAGTGCAGATGCTCAGATACAGGGCTATGTTGCCTGGACCACGAAGGGAAAGCAGAGGTAAGGTCAGAGTCTCCCCAAAGTGGTCTCTCCCGAGCCTGCCTGACTTGACACCTCTTGATCTGCACTGTGCCGCTTTGACTTGTATGTTACCCATTTGCTCTGCACTACTTCTGTCTTCCCTGGCATTCACCAGAACTTTCGTTTCAATTTGCTCTGCCCGGGTTACTTTACTACCTTCATTTGTTCACGTTTTTCTCTTGTATTGGTGACTGTCATTAGGAACGTTCCTGGATTGCCTCGAGTCCGAGGGTCCTTGGCAAGTGCCACCTCATTTAGGTCTTTTGTGGCCAGACTTTTAGGAATAGAGGACTGCTGAGGATCAGGGCAAATGGACGGAGTTAATAAGCCTTATTAATTTTCCCTCTGCAGGACAGTGGAATGTATCATTCCATTACAACCACGGTTTTGTTTCTTACCATTGTGATGTATTGAATTGTAAATTGAGCTTAAATCATCTTTTTTTTTTTTTCTCAGAAACGGTTTACTTAGAAAAGATATAAATAGATACAAACTAAATGAGGATGAATCAGCTCGTCTTCAAGAGTTTTAGGGAGGAAAAAAGGAATTGATATCTGTCCCTCACCACCCCCCACTTTTTTTTTTTTTTTTTTACAATTTTTGGTGTTAGCTTGCTAGATTACTGTTTGCAAAAGAAGAATGTCATCACCATCCTCTTCTGTTTTAAGTATTTCGTTGGTCCTTTTATAATTTAGAGTGTTTACATGGTTCCGTGCTCACTAGGCCCATCTGGAAAATATTTAAACTTCCTAAGATCTATAAGACTAAAATATCACATATAATGGGATAGGGAGAAGGAAGAAAAATTACAGCCATTGGGTGTGTTTAGAATAAGTTAGTTGTTTGTTCAGAAGCGGCTGCTGGAGGAATTGGAACAAATAGCTGTGTGCGGTGAACGGTTGGGTCCAGAGCTGTACGTTCCACCACAGAATGAGCCTTGGTTTGTGAAACTGACATTCTGTTGTGACTTCTAAATCCAAACAAATCTCTGCAAATTTCTGCCCGATCGAGTTAATAAGAAAATATATACATGCAGAGGCGAGAGCCGTATGCTACTTGCAGTTCTGTCAGTGTTGGTGGAAATAAGAGACGGATTTTACCTACTGTATTACATTCAACCAGCAATTGGCAGAACCCCCAGCTCAGCGGGTTTTCTTGACTTTTTTTTTTTTTTTTCTGCTGTGATAACAATGGGATGCAAAAAGAGCTTCAGAAAAGGAGAGCAGCAGATACGGAATTGGGGTCACTTTTCTTCTAATTGCCTTGTAATTGGGGAGTGGTTTCCACTTTCCCACTATCTCACTGGTGGGAGGGGAGGAAGACAGATGTGGCTTAGCAGTAACGAGCTTTCTCTAGGCCGGATGTGCTGAGGGACCAGGGGGGTCATTCCCTGCTCTGGGCCTGTGATCTGCTTCACACCTGTCCTCATTTTCCCCCATGATCGATGACCTTGTATTAACCCAGAGTGACCTTTTTGCCTTCGCCTGTTCTCTGGGACGAGCTCTTGGCTAGTGGACCCTCCTTCTCTCTGATTTACAGGTGGTTACTGGAGCCACATACACTTGTTTTTCATGGTGCACTGTGCACTTAGCAGCCCGGCAAGACCTGCAATTTCATCCCTCTCAAGGGGCCAAGCAGGGGATTGGAAGGTGGGAGGGAGGAGGGTGCCGCGAGAGAGGCTGCTGTGTGCATGTGCTTTTCTATTTTGTGGCTCATATGGTATCAATTACCATTTGATGGCAACGCCAGGCCTGAGGCCCTTCGCATGTTTGTCCTGTGAGAAAGATCTGGAAGAACCGACATATGGTTTTGATTGCAGCAATTGCAGGTTGATAGAATGAACGCAGGGGTGAGGTGGGTGAGTTTTCCTTCCGGCCCTTTCCACTATGGGTTGCTAATGTGCTTCGCTTGTGGAACTGGTCTTTTCATCATCCATCCCCTCCCCCCTTTCCCCCTCCTCCACCCCCCAACTCTCTACCACTTTGCATTCCCTGCCCCTGCCTTCCAAATGACCGCCAGGAACATGTGGCCCACATTAAGGACCTTCAATTAAAACAAACAAAAAAAATTGTCCACTCTTCTGTTCAATCCCAGAGCAGGTCAGTCCATCAAAATGGTCAGAAGTATACCACAGTTAAAAAACAAATGCATGGCATGGGGGCAGATTCCCTTCAGAAGCTTGGGACATGTTTTAAAATGACTATTAGTTCAGGTTGTTAAACATCGAAATGATGCCGAAAAATAGCAGCGATAGAGATTAATGTATTGTGATGCGGGTGTGTGTGTGTGTGTGTGTGTGTGTGTCTTTGTGTGTGTGTGTGTTTCATTTAAGGTACCTCTTGGAATTTGAGCATCTGCTGCATAGGGACGGGAAGATGATGATGATGGTAAGGAGTTCCTTGAGGTTTCATCTTCCAGTATATCCCAGGCCACAAGATGATAGAAAAGCAAGTGAGGCATGTGTGTGTCTATGAGCGTTTCCCTTCAGAAGGAGATGTTGGAGACTCATCTTCCATACACAGTGACTTCTCTCTTACTGAATTTGTGATGGTAGGGGGTGCTCCTCATTACTTCGGCTCAGCAGGGATTGCATCTGTGAATATGCCAAGGGAGGGTCTACTATTGGGGAACAGAGAGGCAAAAGAGGAGAAAAGAACATTACAGACACTTTGAATGTTATCCAGCGACACTTTTTTTTTGTTGTTCCAAAGTGACATCTTTCTATAATGCTTTCAAATTTATCTGTCTCGTACTCTGTTCTAAAATGGGTAGCCCGTGAGATTTTGACTTTTTTCACTTTGGCTATTGCATTTCAAAATATTGCTCACAATTAGGAATTTATACAGTTTGAAACAATAACGTGGTATCTCATGAGTAAATAAATGCTACCATCAACATCTTCCTTCTTTTAAACTGAAAACCAGCAAACCAGAACCAAAAGAAAAAAGAAAGGCAGAAACATGCCTCCAAGAATTTTTTTTTTTTTTTTTTTTTTTTTTGAGACTGAGTCTCACTCTGTCACCCAGGCTGGAATGCAGTGACTTAATCTGGGCTCACTGCATCCTCCACCTCCCAGGTTCAAGCAGTTCTTCTGCCTCAGCCTCCTACGTAGCTGGGATTACAGGCATCCACCACGACACCCAGCTAATTTTTTGTGGTTTAAGTAGAGATGAGGTTTCACCATGTTGCCCGGGCTGGTTTTGAACTTCGAGCCTCACATGATTCCCCCCACCTCAGCCTCCCAAAGTGCTAGGATTACAGGAGTGAGCCACTGCACCGGGTCAAGAAAGTCTTTTAAATGTGAGATGAGTTAGTTGTGATGGCCAGTTATTGAAACCTAATCACACTGGCCCTAATCACACTGCTTGACATACTTCTTCATGTTTATTTTTATGTTAGAGCTGATACAAAATATCTAAATATAAATATATATATATTTAGTTTTTTACTACCTTCTTTATCCAAAGGTAGTACAAACTAAAAAATTAAATTATTGATCTAAATTGTAGGGAAATGTCAGCATGATAGACTTTAGAAAGAAAACCGGCCATATCTTTACAATGGTTACTGAATGTGTGTCTTCACAAGGCTCCATTTTTTTTTCTTTGCTCAAGCTTTCTCCTTATAACGTAGAAATCAATGTATTAAATAATTGTGTCCTTTTTTTTAAGAATCTTGATGACAATTAAATTTTGCCATTTCAGAATCTTCATACAATGGGATAAGTGTTTTCAGAGATACGTTTGAATTCAGAGTAACTGGCGACTAATTGATTTGCTCTAGTTACATGCTTTCATGGTAGCTATTTGGTTATTTGCCTGATATTTAATGCACACATATATAGCCTTAAATCATTCAGTGTGATAGCCTAAGACAACATTTTTGGTTGCTGCTCATGCCACTAATAGCTGGATTTGAAGAGTGATGTATTGAGAAGTTTAATTTGCTGATTTTTTTTTTCTAAAAACACTGCTTTCCTGAAATATGTAGTATTGGAGCTCATAGTAAAAAACTAGTATATGGGTTGTGAGCCTGTCTTGGAACATGGTGGGTCACTTAACAGCAGCTGTGCTGGAGAGATATTTGATTTGAGAAGACTTTTTTGAATCTTCTCAGCCCTAACACCATTCTGGTTTTGAAATGGGAAAATGGAAAAGAGTTTTAGGGAATAGAGATATCTCAGCCTTGAAAGGTAGCATAGGTAGAAATCTTTCAGTTCTCACTCAGATTAACCAGCATTCCTAATCTGCCTCCCCTCACAGAGGACAAAGACTCGGCTGGAAATGTGGGTTTATATTTGTAGTGACACACTACAGAGGCATGAGATAGTGTTAGATACCGGCTGGATGCTTCGTGCCCAACATTAATTTGGTTTTCAGATTGAAATTTAGAACAGCTTACAGAGGAGCCAATCTTTTTTATATACAGCGCCTTTAATAAAAAAAGTGTTCACTGCTATTAAAACCTGATTCAGTCTTCTAAAATAATATTATATTCAATATAACTTTTAAAATGATCAAATTTAGGTGGATATCAATGATGTTAAAAGATAAAAGCCTTCTTACATGTAATATATAGTGTCTTAAACATTATTTTTTAAAAAGAGGATACTGCTTATGCCAAAAGTCTGAATATAGGGATACGCAAATTAACTGTCCTTGGAAGTCCTAAAAATTATTAATGTTTTCTTCTTTGTTTTTTTTTTTTTTAGTTTTTAGTTATTCACAAATGGAGAAATATTTATAAAATTATATTATTATTTGTAATACATACAAACAACCATTAGACCACACTTGAATCAGAGAGTTACATTTATAAATTGAGGAAGGAGGATGCCAGCACAATGCCTAATGGAATGAAAAATTGTGCTTATTTTCATAGGACTCTCTTGGAGAGGGGCTACTTTCCTCTCTCCTAATAGCCAGACCCCCTCCCTCAGCCCAGACACCGAGTTACAGAATGCATTCACTTAGTGTTTGAAGAGCTCATCACCTCCTTTTAAGATCCATTTTTGTTATTCGTACATTGCAAATATGTACTTTTATATACACAAGGAAGACATTACTAACTTCAAGAAGGACAGTTGCAATGAGGAGCAGGACAATACAGTAAGATACAAGCCTGCCAATGAAAGAATTATACTCAGACTTTATGTGATCTAACAGTTGAACAAAATTTGAACCTTTGAGGAAAAAATACTGGGGATTCTCATAAGTGTGTGTTCCTTCCTTCCTCCCTCCCTTCCTCCCTCCCTCCCTCCCTCCCTCCCTCCTTCCCTCCTTCCCTCCTTCCTTCCTTCCTTCCTTCCTTCCTTCCTTCCTTCCTTCCTTCCTTCCTTCCTT